CAGATGGTGGTGAGGTCAGCCTTATGTACTGGCTGCCCTTTACCCCCTGGGAAGATTCCTGGTACTGGTTTCTGCTAGAGGCTAAGTTGACCACAGGACCATGGTGCAGGTGGAAGGATTAGGTAAATTGGCAAATATGCACCTCATTGTGACTCGAACCTGCGACATTCTGGCTTGTAGCATAGAGTCTCAACCACCTACACTACCATGTGCCCATCCTGTGTTGTTATTAAAGACGAAAATACAGGGTGGGGCGCAGAAAATTCCTTTTTTCGAAGGCGAATAAAAGAAAAAATATTGCTGATAGACAAAATTTATGTTTAGCTAATGAAAGAACATACTTTAAAGTTTTAAATCTAGTTTTAAACAAAATATCTTGAAGGTGGCGGCCACCGTTCTCTCTGCATTGATGCAACCATTTTCTGAAGCTGCCCTCTCCACGTTCCAACATGTGCACTGGAATTTGGGCTACTTCCTGCCAAATAACATTCTTCAGCTGAAGCAGGTTTGTGGGGTGTTATTTGAAAACCTCTGCCTTGAGGTATCCACATTAAAAAATCACTGGGCGTTAGATCAGGTGATAGTGCTGCCCATGGGATGTCACCTCGAAGCGAGGTGAGCCGTCCAGGGAACTTTAGCCTCAAAACTGTCATCGAAGCTTGGGCTGTGTGGGCCGTGGCACCATCCTGTTGGAACCAGACATTTCCTAGATGCATTTCTTCAAGAACTGGTTCAAAAAAGTTTTTAATCATGTCCACATATCGCTGGGAATTGACAGAAACTGCATGATTGTCTTCTTCAAAAAGAAGGGCCAATAACTTCAACTCTCAACATCGCACACCATACTGTTACCTTATCACTGTGAAGTGGCCTCTCATGGCGCCCTCTGGGATTGTTACCACTCCAATAGCGCATATTCTGCTTGTTGACATATCCGGATAGGTGAAAATGTGCCTCATCACTAAAGAAAACAAGTGTGTCAGGGGGTAACGTTTCCAATAACATTTTGCACACTGTTATTCGGTTCTGGAAATCACATGGTGACAATTCTTGCACAACAACCATCTTATAGGGATGGAAATGACGGTGTTCGTGAAGAATTCGGTGCATTGAACGGTTGGATATGTCTAGGGTGACTGCATGTTTGCAAGCGGAGCGTCTTGGAGATGTCAAAATCGACTGTTGAACTGCCTTCACATTTTCTGGCGTCGTAACAGTCCGTTGTCGTCCTGATGATTTTTTCACGACACTCCCGGTTGTCCTAAAGTTCTCTACCCGCAAAACAATTGATTTCCAATTGGGAACCAGACCTCTGGGCTTAATTCAGAAGTGAGTACGGAACGTATGCTGCACCGCCATATAGGAATGGTTATTTGAAAAATAGGCTTCGACAGCAAACGCACACTGCCCACTCGTCCATCTCATGTTTCCTGCTGAGGGGTATTAGACAGAAACTTCCGCGACTGCTGCGTTCGCCAAGCCTATCCCCACTTTTCTGCGACCTCCCCTCCCTTCTCAGTGCGTCTTCACAAAATGGAAGTTTCTGTTCCCCACCCTGTATACTGAGTTGCAGGGGATTAGATACAAGTAAATGTGATGAGAATATCATAATGACATTATGTTTGGCAAAGTTGACACTAACATACAGTAGAACTTGGTTATAACGTCATCAAAGGGACCTAAAAATAGTGTCGTTATAAACGAATGTCGTAACCGAAATGGGCACTTCCACAGTAGCCTTATGTTAGTCACGTAAAAATCTACCAAAAACCGAGTTAAAATGTTGCATTTTTTAGTGAAATACGTAGTTAAGTACAGACTAACGTAACATTAACGTGGAATTGCCCAAATGTGTAATATCAAAGACATATTACAGCGCTTTTCACTGACAATACACACAGTATTTCACGAATCACTTTAACTTTCTCTTCAATGCTTAAAACTTTCCTTTTCATTGCCATGTTTTCGCTACTGCACTTCTCTGGGTTTAGGCAGGAACACTATAGGGTAAGTAGACAATGTGAGGTCCTGTTAGACGAGATTCTAGGAAAGGAATGCAGTTAACAACCTGCCGCGTCCTCTTGCACTATTCACGCAGTCCCACCCCACACCCTTGTTTTTGCATAAAACCCACGCTCCTCTTGCAGCCCGCGGTCGTATTCTTCCAGGACAGTCACGTCAGCAAGTAGAGAAAGTGAGGGTGGGCAGACACATCGAACTTTCCCACGATATCAGAGAAATTCAGGAATGAAAATGACGTTACATACGAGGTTGATGCATTTGTGCATGTCGTACTAAGCAAGGTATAAAAACAGTTGCTTTATGAGGAATTAGTTCGTACCATTGAATATTTGACGCAATAGACAAGGTGTCGCAGAAACCGATGTTGCTATAACCAAGTTTTACTGTAATTATCATATGCCACTACGACAGGCATGTCCACCGTGTCAANAGAATATCATAATGACATTATGTTTGGCAAAGTTGACACTAACATAATTATCATATGCCACTACGACAGGCATGTCCACCGTGTCAGTCGCGGTCGCTTTTGGTCGATCTCATGGGCCTATAAGGAAATTTATACGTGAAAAGCATGTGAAGTCACTTGTAATATAATATGTTTACATTCAGATTTTGAAGGGAGAATACTAGTCATTCCTATTCTTCTGTTCTTATGTACCTTACGTGAAAATTGCTTTACACTTGTGTTAAGCGAACTGTGGGGAAGTCCCTACTCTATCCTTATCACATGAACTCTTATTTCATCACTCATCATTAGCCGCATGTGTTCTGATGCAAGAGTGATAAACAGAACATGTGATTCACTAGAAATGATGTGTGGAAACATAACTGAACAGTTGTTGAAAGATGTTTCCAATTGTGTTGCTTTCTCCCTCCAACTGGATGAATCTACATACATCAGAGACAGCCCAGTTACTAGTTGCTTTTACAACAAACATCATGTGTCGTGTTATTTTTACCAATATTTTTGCTTAAAGCGACGTATGATGATAGGAGGGGGTGGTAGATCACTGGCAGTTTTGACACTAAAAAAGTTGATCAGAACCTGTTTGAAGTTGGACATGCCTGCTCTACAAGTAAAGAACCAAGAAATTGGCTTGATCGGTTAGATCATCATCATCCTCTCATCCTCCTCTTCAGGAGCTACAGTCCATAATGAACCTTGACCTCCTGTTCTACTGCTCACCATTATGAATTAGGCCGTATAGGAATTTTATTGTCTGAACATCAGTAAGGGCTGACAATGGAGCTGGGATAGCTCAGTCAGTATAGCGATAGACTACAGGCTGGATAGCCTAGGGTTAGATTCCTGGCAGGGAAAGAGATTTTTCTCTACTCTCAGCATCTGGATCATCTCTGGGGCCCATGCAGCCTCTTATCCAGGGGGTACTGGGGGTTCTTTCATCAGGGGAAAGGCTGTCAATCCCTGATAGCTTTATAGCAACTGTAGAATGTTGTTTATGTCTTTCTTTTTTTTTTATTTCTAGTGTGGTGGGACTAAGTCCCTTGTACTGCGGCCACTTCTGGCCTATTGTACCAGCCCCAGACGATAGGTGAGGGTGATTGTGGACCAATAGGTGGAATGAAAATTGGCAGGGGAAACTGAAGTACTCGGAGAAAACCTGCCCCAACGCCACTTTGTCCACCACAAATCCCACCTGACCAGACCCGGGATTGAACCCAGGCCGCCGCGGTTGGAAGCCAGCGACTAACCGCTTGAGGTAGGGCGCGGCCACTTCTTTATGTCTTACATTGTTTAATGACATAATATTAACTAGTCTGACAATGTGAAGTCAGTTGAGAGAATTGGGGATTGTAAATAGTGGGGTAGAATGAGAAAAAGCGTGTGTAACTAGATGCACTCCTTTCTTCTGCCTATAGGGGCTGAAAGAATACATGAAACTGAGCTGGGATAGTTGATCCGTGCTAGAATTTGAAGTACTTTACACATATACAAGAATGATAACCATTAGATGCGTTATTTAGTCCAAAATATAGACAAATTATGCAGAATGTTACTATGCTTTACTCAGATGCCTTTACTATATTAATTACACATAATAAAATAAACAGTAAAGGTACAGCATTGCAAGCATGTCATTTTAATGTAAAGTAAGTAAGTAAGCAAGTAAAGGTATCCCTGTAACAGGCCGTGGAGATCTGTAGGGTTGTGAGATATTGAGGTTCCCACATTTTCAAGACAGTCGGCTCATAGATGGCGGTAAAGTTGTTAGCTTTACACGCCTTCCACCCTTTACCTCCAAGAATATTCTTGGTACTCATTTTGTTAGAGGCTGAGTCGACCCCAGGGCCATCCATAGTGTGGCTGGAAGGATTAGGTAAATTGAAAAAATCCACCTCATCGGGATTTTATCCCGCAGCCTTCTGGCTTGTAGCATAGTGCCTCAACCAACTATGCTACTGCGTGCCTCCTGTCATTTTAGTTTACAATATTTAAATGTTTAGAGTTTTATTTCTGCCGCTGAACCGCTATTACTCCTCTCTACAGAGTTTTGAAACAATTAGGGGACCAGTAGGTATCAGTGTGGGCTGAGAAGTAGTCTGACTCTCTTCCACGTGGCTTTGTGTTTGGTAGAGATGCAGTTTAATCCTGTTCTCTGTGCTGTCAGGTTCTTAAAAAAAGAAAATGGCCTTTTTTGCAGTACACATTGAACTTGCCGTTATAAGGCTGACAGTGGATGATGGTAATTTTTGTAATGATCAATATAAGCAAAGGCAAATATCAGTAAACTTTTTTATTATTTAAAATAAACTACAGTTTTTAGACTGATCACAGGTACCTGTTTAATCACCGGTATAAATGTGAGCAAACCATGTCCTTTTTTTATTGGACTAGATCAGTAATAATTAATACCAGATTGTGGTTGAGTAACTACCAGTTTTCCATCTGTGAAGTAGCTTAAATGGTAATTACAGAGATGAACTGTTACCATAGATATTGTTTTCTTTTTCAGGCCCACCATTCTGCAGCAGAAATATTGTGAAGTAGGTTTGTTCTTACACCCAAGAAAAACTTCAAATGCAGTCATGTGGCTGAATATTGCTTTGTTTGCTGCCATTTTATGGCAGTGCAATAGCATGGATATGGACTGCAATAACATATTTTCTGAGGTGAGTTCATATGATGTCCACTTATAGAAGGAACACTTGATTTTCAGGTTTCGTTACATTCTAAATTAATTGTAATGGAAAGTGTTACAGTGTCTTCATATTAGAGCTTCTCAGAGATTGTTAGAGCTGCTCAAACAGAAGAGTTTGACCCTCCTCTCATATCTCAGGCTGTTACCAGAATTGACAAGTCCATAGCCCAGTAGGAGTAAACTGTAAATAAATCTTACCCCAATTGTGATAGATGATATGACTGAACAGGTTGGTCTAGAGGTAAAGCATCAAGATATGTAATTGGGGATGCTTAGTTCAAGGCACATTCCAGGGTAGTACCTTAATTAGATCACCATAATTTCCTTCCAAATCCCTTGCAGTCCGTCGTTTACGAGACATCCTACCATCTGATGCTATACAATGCAGTCGTAGTGATCTGAATTACTGGGTTTTTGGAATACACTTACTCTGTTAGGTGCCTTAAAGAGAGGTAGCCACTGGCAACCCATGTCAGTATAACTACAGCTATATAAACACCTGAGACCAGGCTTTTTCAAAGGGAGATAACAGGAAAAATATACTATAAAAATTGTGATAAAGCATTCATAGACCTGAAACTAAGATAGAAATGGAGGTGAAAATTGTATGCAACAAACCATGTCCATGCAAACCAATGCGCACCACCCATTGGAGAATTTTGTGAAACAATTTTGCACCTACTGCTAGCGCCATCTGTGGAGAGTAAAAACTGAACACTTGGAACTGAACCTTATAGAAATCCATGAAGAATCTGCCACATTGTACTAATATCTGTGAGTTGCTAATCTCATTGCTGATAAGGGGATTCAGATGGGAGAAATGTTCAAAGTGGGTTGGCTGATCAGATTGGTTAAGCATGCCATATGGGCTGATTCCCCATATTTTTTATGCCTACTGTTACTTTCAATTACCAAAATCCTAGCTTCATCCAAGCCTATGCTATGACCCTCTTCATAAGCACTTTGGGATAATTTTGTTTTTTCTAGAAGACCATCTTTGAAGTTGTGTCTGTGATTAGTACAGAGCTGCAAGGCTAGAGGTCTAACTGTTTCACCAATGTAGCTTATGCCGCATCCACAGTGGATGCTATAGATGCACTGTGCCATCTGTTGCATATCTCTCTCTCTGGCCAGGTTTTCATGAGAGAACTCCTAAAAGTGTGTTTAGTTTTGAAGATTGTCCGAGCGATATATTGATTTCCTATATGTTTGAACTTCTCTGAAGCACCTTTCATATAAGAGATATACACAGAGTCCAGAGGCTTTTCCTCTGTATTTGGATGCCTGCTACCCTTGGAATTAATAATTGAGTCAGTGAAACCTTGGTGATAACTGTTTAGCTGAAGGTTACGTCTCAGGCAATTAATTTCACTGAACAGATCTTGTCATTCTTGGCATATGCTGAAAGCTCTGTTGTGAAGAGACAGAATTAAACCTCTTTTCACATGCGGCAGATGGTTAGATTTGAAGTTGAGATATTGGCCAGTGTGGGTGGGTTTTCTGTAAACTTTGGTGGCCAGTGTGATCCCTTTCCTGATGACCAGAACATCGAGAAAAGGAGTTGCACTGTCTGACTCTGTTTCCTTTGTAAACTGGATTGAAGGCCGTAAACTATTGAGGTGACTGAGAAAATAATTTAACAGCTCTGGGCCATGAGGCCAGACTACAAAATTATCTTCAACATATCAGTGCCACAGTGATGGTTTGTATTTAGCAGAGTCAAAAGCCATTTTTTAAGAATGCTCAGTATACGAGGGGGTACCCAAAAGAAACTGAACTTATTTTTTTTAAACTCATTTATTCAAATTTTAAGCACAAACCTTCAATCCCCTTCAAAGTACTCTCCACTTACACTAATACACTTGTCTAGTCTTTTATTCCTTTTTTCAAAACATTGTCTAAATTCATCTTTTGAGATGCTTGACAGCGCCTCCGTCGTTTTTTCCTTCACCTCAGCAACATCAGCAAAACGCTTTCCTTTCATGTCTCTTTTCATTCGAGGAAACAAAAAAAGTCGCACGGGGCAAGGTCGGGTGAGTATGGAGGGTGAGGAACAGGGGTCATACCATTTTTGGTCAAGAATTGTCATACAGACAGGGCTGTGTGAGCAGGGGCATTGTCATGATGGAAAAACCAGTCACCCGACTGCCACAAATCTGGCCGCTTCTGCCGCAAACTGTTGCGCAATCTTTTCAAAACTTCCAAGTAGAAAGCCTGGTTAACTGTCTGATCCTGCGGAACAAACTCTGAATGGACGACTCCTCTCACATCGAAAAAACAAATCAGCATTGTTTTCATGTTTGATTTCACCTGACGAGCTTTCTTGGGGCGAGGCGAACTTGAAGTCTTCCACTGGCTTGATTGTTGCTTTGATTCAGGATCGTAAGCATAGCACCAGGTTTCGTCACCGGTGATAATTTTTGAAAAAAAGTTTTGATCATTTCGGGACTCTTCTTTCAAAGCACAGCATGCTTCCACGCGACCTTGTTTTTGTTCAGCAGTCAGCAGTCGTGGCACGAATTTCGCAGCCACCCTTTTCATTCCCAAATCTTCTGTCAAAATTCGCTGAACTGAGCTCCAAGTCACTCCCGACAGCTCCACAATTTCTTCAATGGTCCGTCGTCGATCTTCCTTGATGATTTCACGAATTTTTTCAACATTTTCATGTGTTCGGGCCGTGGAAGGACGACCAGAACGAGGTTTGTCATCAATTGACATTTCACCATTTTTGAAACGGGAAAACCACTCAAACACTTGAGTTTTCCCCATAGCATCGTCCTTGTACGCCGTTTTTAACATTTCAAGAGTTTCTGTTCCACTTTTCCCGAGCAAAAAGCAGAATTTCACCGCCGCACGCTGTTCACGAAAATCAGCCATTGCAAAAACGACGATCACACAAAACAGTTGTCACTATAAACTCTGCCGAAACTAGTCCTTACCTTCTGAAGCAACGGTAGTCGGCTTATCGACTCAGGAATGTTAGCTCTATGCGCTCATAGCGGCAAAACGCGGTACTACAAAAGCTCTGCCCACAAAAAAAATAGTTCGGTTTCTTTTGGGTACCCCATCGTATGTGTTGCTAACGATGGGTGATAGAGAGCTTCCCAAAGCGATGCCATGTTTCTGTTAGAAGAACTTATTGTCCACCTGAAAATATGTGTTTCTCAAACACACTTCCAGCAGTTCCATGATGGCTTCAACCTACAAGACAGACCATTTTGCCAGTGTGTCATTGTTATTTAGTTTATTTCTGGTGATTTGTAGGGCTTCGTTGACTGGTACATTAGTGAAATGACTAACATCAGAGCTAGCAAGGGTATCTAGAAATTGAAGGTTTACAGACTTCAGCAGCTGTATGAAGTGGCCTGAAATCTTCACAGAGGATTCTGATTTTCTGGCAAGAGCACTTATGGAGAAAACCAGCCAGAGCGTAGCAAGGGGAACCAGTAGAACTCACTATAGGCCACAGAGGAATGTCTGGTTTGTGAATCTTGGGAAGACCATGTAGATATAGAGGTTTGCTGTGGTATGGAGTCAGCTTATGTTTTAAATCTGTATGAAGAACAGTTTTGTATTTAGAAAGGAGTTTCTGTACTATCCTCTCAATCTTAGCTGTAGGATCTTTCAGCAAGGGTTCATAAACACCAGACTCTAGTAAAATATTCAGCTTATCCTGATAAGTTTTTAAGCACAAAACTGCATCAACATAGACCAGAAGTTGATGTGTCTTATTTAATTTCATTCCCACCCAGTTTACCTGGAACTTCCTAATGGTGTATTCAAGAGCAGAGTTGAAAAGTAATGTAACCGTCCCTCGTTTCTTTCGCCTGTGGCACCATCTGAATAGTACTGCAGGGAGTCGGAGTCAGTGGCACTCGGCTCCTCTGCTCCAATGACTACTTCGACGCTGCCCTACCTGGTGTTGCCGCTGCTGAAGTTGCTAGGTCGTAGCTGGTTTCGGCTTGACCCAGCTCCACCACTTCTTCAGTTGAGATTATTAGTGGTTGGATTTCAGGATTGGATCTGATAATATGGTCACCAGCAAACAGCTAGAGGCTCTACACCATTTGATAGTGGGGAAGGGGGGGCATTGGGAAGCTGATGGTGGGTTTGACTAGCTAGTAGAGATGAGTCTCCAAGTCGAATATGAGTCAGGCTTGGACAGTTAAGGGTGAAACACCTCTGATCAACACAATGCACTTTACACCACAACACTTTATTGTTGTTCTTCCTAACTACACTTGGCTGCATAAATTCTCACAACCTGATTTAGTTTCGGCTTATAAGCAGCAGGTGTTACACTTCCACTAAAATGCACTCGATCAGCTCGCCAAATTCCTTGGTGCCGCGCTCTTGTTGATTAAGCTAAATCTCAATATAAGTCATTATGAGAGCAAAAATTTTGGACTTAGAATTATCTTTTAGAGCGAGTGGTGCCGGGTTTGCCTCCACCAAGTTCAAAAGTTGATAGATGACTAAACTCTTAGACTGACCTCTCTGCCGAGCCAGAGGTCCTAACTGATTTGTATCTGCCTATTCTCCTCTCCTCCTAATTTCCCTGATAGGTCGATTCAAATAAGGGGAGTTGGCTTTAAGGAATTTCGCCCTAAAAGACAAAATGGCGAAATTGACAGCGATGCAACTCATAAGGGGTCACTAATGATCTCCTGGCACTCCTACTTTTGACTTACTGCTGGTAGAAACTGTCACTTCTCGAATTCTCAAAGTGTCTTGCCACTGTAGTGCTATTTCTAAATTTCTAAAGAACCTCAGTGGCGTTTCTTGAAGTATTGCTTTCTGCCCTTTTGGAAAATAACACCAGATGCTTGGACGTAAGGACTAGCAGATGTCCTTGCCCGCGCAAGTTTGGTCTATATGCACATCGCCTATTCCTTGTTCTTACAGTGTGTCTTAATTAAACCTTTGTTTCTTCGTAACTTCTTATTATTAAACTCGATTAGCTACTGGAAA